AAAGAAGGAGCCACTAGCGCCAGAGGCAGAACAGGAGATGGAATCTGAGGGGCCCAGGGTAAACAAGGGGAACCAGGGACTAGAGGTGCTTCCTGGGGGCGGGGGGAATGCAACCAGTGTCTCCCCCTTCCCTCTTCCACCCCAGCTCCTGCCCTGGTCTTTTCTTTTCATCCCTCTTCCCCATGACAGAAGCTGTGGCCCTGGCCATGTCATCGTGTTCCTGTGTCCCCTGCATGTTCCTCACCCTCCACCCCCCTCCTTTTGCGCGGACCCTATTACAATAAATTTTAAATAAAACCTGGTTCTGGCTCTTGGTTCAATGAATTTCCTTCACTAAGCCCCTTGTCCTTACTTCCTAGGGGGTGGTTCTTGTGCCTGGTATCAGTCCCACCCTTGCTTTGCTGCATATAGCTCTGTGCTCTGGCTCCTCCTTCCCCAAGGACAGCCCTCGGGGTGGCAGCACAGATTTAGGGTGTGGCCAAGCTCCAATGGATGTGGAGAGCAAGTTCTAGGGCTCCCCGGTCTGTGGGGAAATAATCTGGACAGGTCCAGAATAACCACTAAAGGTTTGAAGAGGCCCAGGTTAGGCATCCAAACAGTTATTGAACATAAACACTGCTCTCCCTTGGTTGTACTCATTGCCAGCTGCTCAGGACCCTGGACAAATACCTGCACACCCTTAACCCTGAAAAGCCATCATGGGTAATGTAGGTGCAGAAAGGTAGAGGGGGCCTGAGCCCTGGGGCCAGGAGCAGGAAGATTCAGAATAACTGCACTCCACCTGCACGATCTCCGCATCGGCGCCCTGCATTTGCGGTGGATCCTCAGTCCTAGCCCCTCCTGCTCCAAGCTGTCCCTGCAGGCTCCATTGGAATTCCCTTTCCTTGCCTAGCTCCGTCCTTTCCAAGAACCCTTTCTTGAGCCTTCCAATATCCATTTTCTGCTGCTCCTTCCCTGGGAATAGGAAGATTTACTGTTCTGCAGTCTCCCTTCTCTTGAAACCCCACCCTGCTTTTCTGCAGCCTCCCCAAATTTTGCCCCATCTCCCTTGCCCTCTTTCTGCTGTAGGGGTGCCTCCACCCATTCCTGCCTGCCTCATTAGTCCCGTCTCTCCTCGAAGACCCCCGGTCTCTGCCAGGACCCCCGGTGACCGTTGGCGGGAGGGGCCGAGGACTTAGGAAGGGGGCGTCCCGCCGGGAGGCGCGCGTGGGAAGGGGCAGGGAGGGGTCGCGAGTGGTCCCTGGGTCTGTTGCCTTGGTAACGCAGGGCCTGGCACGCGAGGCTCCCTTGGGCTGGCCGGGAGGGGCCGGAGGCGTGCAAGGGGCGGGGGCGGGCGCGCGGCGGCAGTGGAGCGCAGGGGAGGGGACCAGAGAAGAGGGGACCAAACGCGAGGAGAGAGGAGGGGAGACCCGCCGCCTCCCTCCTTCCTAAGCTGACTTGCTCCCTCCCGGGCTGCGGCTGCTGCAACAACGGCGGCGGCGGCGGCGGCGGCGGCAGCAGCGGCAGCGGCGGCGGTGGCGGCGGCGGGAGCAGTCTGAAGGCCGGCGTCGAGGTGAGACTGGGACGGACTGTGGCTGCGGGTAGGAGTGGACCTACAGACCGCCTGATTGCACGGGAATGCGGGCGCCTGGCGAGCTGGAAGGTGGTGCTGGGTGCCCCGCGCCATGGGGAGGAGGAGGTGCCAGCCCGCGGAGGGCGAGGGAATCCCTAAGAGGGGCTCAGATGCAACTCAGGAGATGCCCAGGTCCCCTAGGAAAGGGCAGGGGCGTCTGCGCCCCAAACGCGCAGCAAGAATACCGGCACCGCCTGGGCGTCCGGGGAGGAGAGAAGGATGCCGAGGGAGTGGAATGCGTGTGTGTCAGATCCCCTGCCCAATGTGCTTGTCGGAGTTTCCCGGTGGCGGCTGCACAGCTTGTTGACTTGGGGGTGCTGGGGTATCTGCTGGGGTGTGAGAGACTGGATTCTGTTGGGCAGACCAAAGATGAGACCCTGAGGAGAGTCCTGTTTATAAAAGTAATTTTCTTCCCCCAGCGCCCATGCAGGAAGCTTTGAGTAAAGCACTTCTCCCCCAGGGATGTCCCACCCCAAAACAAAGGAAACCCCAACTTTTCTTCTTCATCCCAGAGACAGCGCAAGGCTGGCCTTGAGACAGGAGCCTGGCCCTCTTGGGTCTGCAGTGCTGTCAGCCCCACTTCTCTCCTCACACCAAGCCTGTCTCCTCCTCTTGCAGGGTTTGCTACTGTCTGCTGTTCCCTCCTTCCCACAGGGGTTCTCTCCCCTCTCCCATCTCAAGATGGCAGCCAGAAGCTCTGAGATGAAGGGGGTCGAGGATTGTCCGGAGACCCAGGGAGAAGGGCCTGGCCATTCTGAAGCTGGAACTGGCCCTCTCCAGGCCCTAGCAGAGGTCCCAGACCATCCAGAGGCCCCACAGCCAGGCCCAGACACCACTGCAGCCCCTGTGGACTCAGGGCCTGATGCTGGGCTGGCTCCAGAAACTACAGACACCCCAGCTGGGGCCCCAAAAACAGCTCAGGCCACAGACCTTAGCTTAAGCCCAGGAGGGGACTCAAAAGCCAACTCCATCCCTGAAGAGGCATGCAAAGAGCCAGCATCCAAACCAGAAGTGAACAAAGAAGCCACTGCAGACCAGGGGTCTGAGCAGGAGTCTTCAGCCCCTCCCAAGCCAGCCTCAGAGCCTACTTCCCAGCTAGACTCCCAGTCAGACCCTCAGCCAGCTTCCCAGCCCACCCCCAAACCAGCCCTTCAAATAGAGCCCCCTACCCAGGAGGACCCCACCCCTGAGGTCCTGACAGAAAGTGTAGGGGAAAAGCAAGAGAATGGGGCAGTGGTCCCTTTACAGGCTGGGGATGGGGAAGAGGGCCCAGCACCCCAGCCTCACTCCTCACCCTCAACAAAAACGCCCCCAGCCAATGGGGCTCCCCCCCGTGTGCTGCAGCAGCTGGTTGAGGAGGACAGAATAGGAAGGGCCCATAGTGGGCATCCAGGATCTCCCCGAGGTAGCCTAAGCCGCCACCCCAGCTCCCAGTTGGCAGGTCCTGGGGTAGAGGGAGGTGAAGGCACCCAGAAACCTCGTGACTACATCATCCTTGCCATCCTGTCCTGCTTCTGCCCCATGTGGCCTGTCAACATCGTGGCCTTCGCTTATGCCGTCATGGTGAGCCCCAGGATAAACCACACTTTCCCTACCCTTTCTGCATGGTTCCCACTGCCCCACTTATACAGCCTTTGCTGGTCCTGCCCAGGATCTAACTTTCTGAGCCACCACTGCCCTACCCCTTCGGTGGGAGGAATATGGAGACATATGTCACACAGCCTCACTGACCTGTGCCCTCTTCCCCCTTCCTCCCGTAACCTCATGGGGCTGGCCTCTGGACGACTCACCTGATCCCTGCTGGGCTGGCTTCTCCTGACCTGGGCCATGGTACCTCCACCCCACACCCTAACCCCAGTCCCGGAACAGTCTGCAGCAGGGGGACGTGGATGGGGCCCAGCGTCTGGGCCGTGTGGCCAAGCTCTTAAGCATCGTGGCGCTGGTGGGGGGGGTCCTCATCATCATCGCCTCCTGCGTCATCAACTTGGGCGGTGAGTGGGGGTCAGGGACATGCAGGGGAGGAGTGGAAGGGTTGACAAGGGCAGCTTTACTAACCCCTGCCCCTGCTCTCTCCTGTCTGTCCTCCCTACTTCTCCTTTGTCTCTCCTTTCTCCCTGACCCTGTCTCTGTCTCTCCCTCCCTCTCCTCTCCCACAGTGTATAAGTGAGGGGCTCTGCCCTGCATTCCAAGACTTTTCTTCCTGTTGGGAGCTGCCTTGGGCCCATCCCTCCCTTGGGGGGAGCCCAATCGATGGCCCTGGCCCCCATCCCTAGGGACCAAGGGAGCCTGAGCGGCCTTGTTTACAGCTTCTCTCCTGTTCCTGCATCCTGCCAGGCTCCTCTGCCAACCGTAGGCCTCCCTCTTCCCTGCACTGTTTCCAACCTCCCTGCACTTCTGCCTGTGGATAGCCCCTCCAGCCTCTAGGCCTCCCTAACCCTGCACTTCTGGAAACCTTCCTACTTCTGGAAGCCTCCCTGAATATCTCCCAAACTCTCTGAGCTCTCAGCTTCCCTGCATCTCTCCCCACCTCCCTGCACTTCTCCCAGCCTTCTGAATTCTCTGAACCTCATCCTCGTCTTCCTTCTCCTGACTTTCATTGTCTTGGCATCTAACCCCGTTCCTTTTCTCCATTCCTTTATCATCTTCCCTCCCCTTTTTACATCACCCACCCCCTTCCTCTTTCTGCCTCCTCATCTTCCCTTAGCATCCTTTCCTCCACCCTCCTGCCATCATTTATTCTGCAAGAGCTCCAGCACTTAGATCAGGTTGGGGGAAAGGGAGCAGTGTTGGGAGAGGGCTACCTAGCCTGGGGCTCCGACTGTTCTCTGCTGGGACCACCCAGGCTCAGACCACCCCCTCACCGGGCGCCTTTTGGGTCGCAGAGCTGTAAGCCAGGCCCCATCTGGGGACTTGTGCAATGGTGGAAGCAATTCTGAACACAGGGAAGTAGGGAGAGGCGCGGCGGTAGAGGGGTCAGCCAGGGTTGACCGGCCCACCTGGGTCTTTTAACCTCAGCCCACGAGCTTCTTGCTTGAAGGTGTAAGGGCTCGAGCCACTTGCGTGCTTTGTACGGAAAGAATTTTAAAAAAAAGAAAAAGAAAAATAGGACCAAAGCTCTCAGCAGCCCAGAGCGAGGGAGGGGCGGGTGAGTTCTATAATTGTTTTCCAAGAGGACGAGGGAGGTTGGTTGCACGCGACAGCCACTGAGAAGGCAGGGAGCCAGCTGCGACGAGGTTCAGAGTTGGCGGGTTTTTTGTTTTCTTTAAAAAAAAAAAAAAGTCTGGGGAAAAAACCCTAAAACTCCTTTAAGAAAAATATATCAAACTGATTCTCCCTTTTTGTATGCTGAATGCTGCATGGGTCTGAAACACCAATAAACGGAGACTGCATGAGACTCGCCTCCAGTCTCTGTTGGTCCCTGCGTTCGTCTGCCCGGCCAGAGCACTGCCTCCCGGCAGAACCCAAAGGGTGGTATACGCATGCGCCGTCGTGGTGGCCATCTTTACTGTGGGCCAAAGCCTGTTATGCCAGAGGCCTACCTGCGCATGTGCAAGCCTTCCCTTGCCTTCCTATCCCAAGTAGCTTTGACTAGAGCGGAGCCTCCCGCGCCATTTCTATGCGCCTGCGTACTGTGACTCTGCGCAGCCCGGGAGGCGGGTCTTAGCTCCAGGTGCGTACCGCGGCTGAGTTGACGCGGCCCCCAACTGCGAGGTCCGGCGAGAGGGTGCGGGGTCCACTTGTGGAGAGGAGTGATATGAAGGCAAGACTAGTGGCTCCGCCCCTCTGTGGCTCGGAAATTGGATTCTGCGGGTCCTCGGGACCGTCAGAGTGCCGGATCTCGATCCTTGGGGTGGGACCCTACCTTGCAGGGGTCTGAGCGCCCCCTCCTGGGGGTAGGCGCTCTGGCCACTTAGAATACTGTTGGAGCCTGATTGGTTGAAGAGAGATTTTCCTAAAACCCTGGGGATCCCAATCACTTGGGGCGGGAGGACCTGGTTTGGTACTCCAGCATTTCCTATATTGTTAGGCCCCTTCCCTAGTGGCTTATGTCCCTTGCCCGGGGTCAAGGAGACATTGCGTCCACCACGGCGGCGCCTCTGTCTGAAGAAGGGGAAGTGACTTCCGGCCTCCAGGCTCTGGCCGTGGAGGATACCGGAGGTCCCTCTGTCTTGGCCAATAAGGCCGAGGAAGAGGGGGAAGGAGGACAGGAGCAGGCCGAGCATGCCGAACCCGGGACTGAGGAGGCTACAGAAGTACCCAGCGCCGAGGGGGAGGAGCGTGTGGAGGGAGAATCCGAGGACTGGTGCGTGCCCTGCAGCGATGAGGAGGTGGAGCTGCCCGCGGACGGACAGCCCTGGATGCCCCCGCCCTCTGAAATCCAGCGGCTCTATGAGTTGCTGGCTGTCCAAGGTACCTTGGAGCTTCAAGCGGAGATCCTGCCCCGACGGCCCCCTACACCCGAAGCCCAGAGTGAAGAGGAGAGATCTGATGAGGAGCCGGAGGCCAAGGAAGAAGAAGAGGAAAAGTGAGAGCACAATCTTACACCTTGTCACTGGGACTGCTCTCCTGATGCCAGGAGAAAATAGGGAGGGGGGAAAAAAGTGGGTCCCCAGGAGCTTAGAAAGTGGAGGAAGGGAACAGGAAAGGAAGAGCCGACAGGTTGGGGAAAAACGTGTGGGTGTTTGGGAGGACTACTCTTACCCTTCATTCTTTGTCCACCTGTCCCAGACCTCACATGCCTACGGAATTTGACTTCGATGATGAGCCAATGACACCAAAGGACTCCTTGATTGACCGGAGACGCACCCCAGGTACAAGAGGGAAAAGTTTGCGGGGGAGGTGAAGGGCCTCTCCTCCCAGTTACATCAAAAATGACTCCCCTGAAGAGGCCTTTGCTGGGTGCCTCAATTGTCATACAACTTGTAGCTGCTCCAGTGAGCTTAGGTTTAATTCTCATTCTCTCTCTCTCTCTCTCTCTCTCTCTCTCTCGCTCTCGCTCTCGCTCTCGCTCTCGCTCTCTTTTGTAATGGGCATTCACTGAGTCACATCCCAGCCCTTTTTATTCTGATACAGGATCTCACCAACTTGCTTAGGGCCTCACCAGGTTTTTGAGTCTGACCTCAAACTTGTGAACCTTCTGCCTCAATCTCCTGAGTCCCTAGGACTACAGGCATGCTCCACCATGCCTGTCCTTGTCTTATTTTGATAGACTATTACAGATAGTTCTATTATGTTTTCCGTTCCTTTTATCCTCTCCTCAAAAGTCCAAGTCCTGTTCATTATTATCTAGCACCACATCCCTATACTACTGTGTAAATTACTTAATCTGACCCAATTTCCCACTTCCATGACATTCTAGAATTTACTCTTGAGTCATTCTTTTTTTGGGGGGGGAACGGGTAACAGGGATTGAACTCAGGGGCACTTGACCACTGAGCCACATCCCCAGCCCTATTTTGTATTTTATTTAGAGACAGTATTTCACTGAGTTGCTTAGCACCTCACTTTTGCTGAGGCTGGCTTTGAACTTGAGGTCCTCCTGTCTCATCCTCCTGAGCCTCTTGGATTACACGCATGCACCACCTCGCCTGGCTCTTGAGTCATTCTTGATTTCTCTTTTTCTTACCTGAACATTCAAGCCAGCAGCAAGTACCACCAGCTCTGCTCCACAACGTTTCCAAGTCCATCTGCTAATGTCTGCCTTCAGCTCCACACCTTCATCCATGCCACCATCTCCCTTGCCACATAGTTACAGTAGTTTTTAACTTACCTCCCTGCTTCCAGTCTCAGCATCAGAGTGGTCCTTTTAGCTTTTTTTTTTTTTTTTTTTTTTTTTTTTTTTTTTTTTTT